TGAGCACAAGGTGACCAAGACCCCACGCTAGAGCCTGGAGACGGGATCTATGCTGCGATCATTCCTCCAGAGTGGGGACACGAGCTAAGAGCGACTACCACACCCTCCCAGCGGATGGCCCAAGAAGCCCAAGACCCGGAGGCAGAACCCGTATCGTTCGAGGCACTGGTGCCAGAGCAATACCAGGATTTCCGGGATGTGTTCTCGAAAGAGGCCTTCGATCAACTACCCCCCCAGAAACCCTGGGACCACGCCATTGATCTACTGCCAGACGCCAAGCTCCCCAGAGGGAAGACCTTCCCACTCTTGCAGCCAGAGCAGAAGGAGCTGGACAAGTTTCTGCGAGAGAACCTGCAGAACGGACGCATCCGACCGTCCAAGTCCCCAATGGGGGCCCCAGTCTTCTTTGTTAAGAAGAAGGATGGGTCACTACGGCTAGTTCAGGACTACCGGAAACTGAATGAGATCACGGTAAAGAACTCATACCTGCTCCCGCTCATCTCTGATGTCCTGGCCCGCCTCCGCAATGCCAAGTACTTCTCAGCGCTAGACTTACGCTGGGGGGTTCAACAACGTCCGAATCAAGGACGGTGATGAGTGGAAGGCCGCATTCACAACCAACCGAGGGCTGTTCGAGCCCTTGGTAATGTTCTTCGGGCTATGTAACTCACCCGCGACCTTCCAAACCATGATGAATGACATCCTCCGGGATTTCATTGACTGAGAGGTTGTCATCTGTTACATGGATGACATCCTCATTTTCACCACTACCCTAGAGGAGCACCGGAGGGTCGTCCGAGAAGTCCTGGAGACGTTGCGAAAGAGGAGGCTCTTCTTGAAGCCAGAGAAGTGCAAATTCGAGCGGACGCAGATCGAGTATCTGGGACTTATCATCTCCGAGGGAAGTGTCGCGATGGACCCTGTGAAGATTAGAGGAGTCCTTGACTGGCCCACCCCAACCAAGGTAAAGGAAGTGCGGTCCTTCCTAGGGTTTGTGAATTTCTATCGCCGGTTCATCAGAGACTTCTCTGAGAAAGCCCGCCCGCTTCATGCATTGACCTGGAAGACCAAAGTCTGGAACTGGGGCCCGGACGAGGACCACGCCTTCCACGCCCTTAAGGAGGCCGTCACCACTGCCCCCGTCCTCTCCTTCCCCACTGATTCCGGCCACTTCAGGCTCGAGTGTGACGCCTCCAACTTCGCAACCGGTGCAGTCCTCTCTCAGCTTCAGTCAGATGGGGAGTTCCACCCAGTAGCGTTCATGTCCAAAAGCTTTACGGACGTGGAGCGCAACTACGAGGTATATGATAAGGAGATGCTCGCGATCGTCCGAGCCCTTGAAGAGTGGCGGCACTTCCTGGAGGGTGCCAAAGAGAGGGTTGAGGTCTACACAGATCACCGCAACCTGGGGTACTTCCGCACGGCCCAGAGGCTAAACCAACGCCAAGCACGGTGGTCCCTCTTCCTCTCCCGCTTCTACTTCACCCTCGTCCACCGCCCAGGGAAGCTCATGGGGAAGCCAGATGCACTCTCACGACGCGCTGACCACCTGAAGGGGAAGGATGACAACGAGGGGCTGACACTCCTCCAACCCACCTGGTTTGAAGCCCGGGCAACAGAAGCGATCTCGGTAGAGGGAGAGGAGGCAGGGATCCTAGAGAGGATATGTGGAGCGAAGGAGCATGACGAGAGGGTGGTGAAAGCCATGCGGGAACTGGGAGAAGGGACCCTGAGGTCGGATGAATGGGAGAAGCAAGGAGAGTTAATCCTATACCGAGGAAAGGTGTACGTACCGAGAGACCAGCAACTCCGCCATGACCTGGTACGGTTGCACCACGACGCACGGGCAACGGGGCATCCGGGGCGATGGAAAACCCTAGAACTCGTTTCCCGTGACTACTGGTGGCCCCGGATGGCAGAGTACGTCGGGCGGTACGTACGCGGGTGTGATACCTGCAACCGAGTCAAACCTTTCCCCTCACGAAAGGTTGGGAAACTCACCCCAAACAAAGTCCCCACCCACCGCTGGCAGATAATCTCAGTGGATATGGTAGGAGAGCTCCCAGAGTCGAAGGGGTACAACACCATCCTGGTCGTGGTGGACCGCTTGTCCAAACGCATCCATGTGATCCCCACCGTAACGACGATAGACTCAGCGGGCGTAGCGCGACTCTTCCTAGAACACATCTGGAAGCATCACGGGCTCCCAGAGGAGATCCTCAGTGACAGGGGGAGTGCCTTCGTCTCCCACTTCTCGAGAGAGCTCGCAGACCTCCTCGGAGTCAAACTCACCCCTTCAACACCCTACCACCCCCAGACGGATGGACAAACCGAGCGGGTCAACCAAGAAATCACCTCCGAGTGTTTGTCAACCACTGCCAGGACGACTGGGCAGACTGGCTCCCGCTAGCAGAGTTCGCCTACAACAATCACATCCACTCGTCCACCCACAGGACCCCCTTCGAACTCGACACCGGGCAACACCCCAGGATGGGGACAGAACCCACCCGTACGTCCGAAGTGGAGGCTGCTGATGCCTTTTCATCAAGGATGATGAAAATGCAGGAGGAGGCGAAGGCAGCGCTAGAACATGCAGCAGACGAGATGGCCCGCTATTACGATCGGGGCCATGAAGCAGCCCCCAAGTACCAAGAGGGTGACCAAGTCTGGCTCAATGCCCAGAACTACACGACCAACCGCCCCACCAAGAAACTGGACCACAAATGGCTTGGCCCCTTCAAGATAGTCAAAGTTGTCTCCCCTGCCGCTGTCAAACTCCAACTCACCGCACGACAGAAAGGGATCCACCCGGTTGTATCTGTAACAAACATCAGGCCCCACCACCCGGATGAAATCGCAGAACGACCCCTCGACCCCCGCCCGGGCCCGGAACTCGTAGATGGAGAAGAGGAGTACGAAGTTGAAAAGGTATTAGACTCCAAATGGCTACGCCGGAAACTCTGGTACCTGGTAAAATTCATGGGCTGGCCAAACTCGGAGAACCAGTGGCTCCAGCGGGACCACTTAACCCACGCCCCCGACCGAATCGAGGAATTCCACAGAACGCACCCCCAAGCCCCTGGGAGAGAGAGGGAGAACCACCTGGCCGCTTCGAGGCAAAGCGGCTTAAGGAGGGGGTGATGTCAGGGCACGCCTGCCTGACCCGGCCCCACCTAACCCGGTGCCCCACCATCCACTCCTCCCGACCTCCCCCCTCTTCCCCTTTTCTCCCTTCCCTTTCTTCTTCTCCTTCTTTTCTATTCTCTCTCCTCTTTATTCCTTTCTTATCACATGGACAACTTCCTTTGTATCAATGTACCATTGACCCGGCTGCAGTGTAACGCGCCCGAACCCGGACACACCGGACGACCCCCCACACACCAGACGCTCCTAGGACCTCTTACGGAGGTACCCAGACGGAGGTGGCTGTGTGCTCGGATGACATGGCGCTTCCCACGTGGCCTTCAACCACATGTATATAAACACAGCCTAAGTGGGAACTGAGAAGCAACCTTCTTCTCACATTTCCCACTTTAGGCAAGTAGCTTACACTTCCCTTGATAATGACAATAACACATTTCCCACTTTAGTCTTAGTGGCCAGGGACCCTTGTCTGCTTTGGGCCCATTGCTACGCGCGCCCACGTCATACCTACCGGACCCTCAGCCTCGGGCGATACACCCGGGTGCTCTCGACCCCAGGTCGGTCCCTGACAAAATCCAAATTAAACAACTCCACACAGAATTACACCCAGACAAATGAAGAAATTACAATAGAGGAACAGCTCCGCAGGGCTCGGTTTATCTGTAAGTCAATTCTCAGAAACTTTTAGACTAACCCATAAAATAGAATTAGCCAAAACACTTGGATTGGTACTATAATTATTGACTGAAACTAGTCTACTTCATTATATTTAATTATATATGCATACAAGATGTGGGACAGCAATACATTTTCCCCTCTCTGAAATGCATCCAGTCGTGATGTGATGGGGTCAGGTCAACACCTGATTTATGAAACAGTTCAGTGGTTCGGTTTAGGGCTCCTAGCGGATCGGATAACACTCGGATATCCGCAGATTTATCCAAAAATCCGCGGATGCGGATTTGGCTTTTGACAGGATAATATCCGCGGTTTCTAATCTGCAGATCTATTGTCGCTACTGTTCTAGATATCCCTCCTATGTTTCTATATTTTTTTCCAATTTTTTCAAGTCTTATTTGACCACCCAGGCCTGTTATTCCCAAATTAGGCATTTGACCTCCAAGTTTTCCACCATTCTCCCCATATTTCCATCAGTTCTCCACCAATATGGACAAATTTGGGATTGTTAGAAAGCTCTCGTCAAGGACAATTCTGACGAAATGCAACTTTGGAACATTTTATCTACAATCCGCGGTTGATCCGCATATCCGCGGATTTCTAACCGCCGGATACGGATTCTGATCCCGATCCGATCCGATCCGCTAGGAGCCATAGTTCGGTTCGGTTCGAACCTGGTTCACAAAATTCCAACATCATAGAGAACCCGAACCGAACCATCTCTGAACCAAGGCCGAACTGAACCGCGGTTCTGGTTCATCCTGGTTCGGTTCATGGTCCATTCACGGTTCGAACTGGTTCACCGTGAACTTTGGTACCCCTAGCGCGTTGTATTTGATGTGCGTCAGGGTTCCAATATAAATAATCGGTGTGCGTACAACAAGCCTTGGTTCTAACTCGTGTATGTCGGCATGGGTCATCTCCCCCAAGCAGCATCCCAAACGGCGCATCTGCGCAAGGCCTGCATGAGGGCTGGTCCGTTTGGTGGTGGCAGTGCCAACTCCGTTTGACCTATTACCCCATATTGAATTATCACGCGACCACATGCATTCCCTCCGAACGGGGCAATGCCGGCAGTAATCTCTGCAAGTATGTAGCTCGAGGACGGTCACCCTCCTTTGAGACTGACATGTTAGAAAGCGCCACCTTTCCACTTTCGATCTTCACCTTTGCGTGTAATGTATATTACCGTCAAGACGTGAGTCTTAACCGACAACGATGCATCTCGGGTCTTGCTCATCCTCACAGGTCCTTGGGGAGGCACACTATCAAAGCCGAACCAAACGATACGATCAATGATTTCAAGCAAAACCTACACCACAAGACAGGCATTCCACCTGCCGGGCAACGCCTTTTATTCAATAACAGGCAGCTGGGAGATGGTTGGGTCTTGCTCTCCGAGTATCGCATACAGGATGGGTCTGAACTCAGCCTTGCCCGCATACGGATTTCGGTTAGGGGGTGAGTCACGATCGATGGGACAACCCTACACAACACTCATTTCCTTCTGCTCTTTCACAGCCCTACTGGACGGATTCACATCTTTGAGGCAGAATTGCTCGATACTGTCAGTATCCTCAAGGCGAAGATTTATCGCAGGACTGGCATCCCACCCTGGGAGCAGCGTTTTATATTTGATGGCAGGCAGCTCGAAGATCAATTCACTCTATCCGAAAGTGGCATCCAGGATGAGGACGTTATCCATCTAGCACATCATCGTCGGGTGACGAACGATCAACTGCAATGTTAGGCGTTATCCGCGATGGTGACAGTGTAGACACTCCGTTGGAAAGGCGGAGGTCCCAAGTTGTGCATGGATGATGAGAAAGTCAGCAAGTAGTCTAGATTGGGGTATAATCACTTGGAGAGTTCACGAGTAGGATTTTATATGTTGATGTGGTCGACCGTAGAAACTTTGTGATCGAGCGCAAACTGATTGTTAGGTCCCTATCAGGGTTCCACCCTTTCCCCACCTTCGACCGCCGAACTTGTCCAACGACGCCGCCCCAACCTCACCTTCATTCATATATCCTTGCCCGTTTCATTTTTATGCCCTAATACCTAAATAAGTGACGTTGATCTGTGGTCGATCTGTGGCACAACTACTCATTGAGTCATTGTCCACACTACTCCGAGACCGAGTTTGACCCACATGCACAGCTCTACTTTACCTTGCAAGGTAGGGACTTAGAACCCTCTCACGAATGTAGGTCAACCTCATCAGGAAACCCCCGAGGCCGATTGAGGTGATTGAGAGCAATTCAAGTGCTCAATCTGCCCAATCTGCCCAATCGACACTCTCAATCGTCTCAATCATCACAATCGCGAGTCCATTTGTTTGCTCCAGGTGCTGTACAGTTTTCAAATGAATTGGTTTGCAACTTGTAACTTTTTTTTTCACTCCACCTCACGCTATCTACACCCATGTCTCTTTACTATGCAACACGATATTTTTTACTCCACTCCGATGTTCCTTACTTGTGCTCATGGGCCAACACCCTTCCACAGTCACCCGACCCTTCCCCAACATGCTCCCTTCCCACAAGTCACTCCATCCAACCCCAACTTAACTTCTCACACACAACACTATCCCCAACTTCTTACTGCATGTACTCAACAACCACGCATCCATTTCCGACGATTCTAAGCTCATCCGATAGATGAGATCCAGCTCTATCTTTCTACAGAGATTGGTACCAAACGGTTCAGCGATTGAGGTGCGCGTCTGCTTCCTTTAAATATATTGTATTTCACTAACCTCAATTTCTTACAGCTTGTACTCAACAACCACACCTCCGTTTCGGATGAACTTACGCTCGTTTGATATAGAGGTTTGGCTCCATCCTCCCACCGAGTTTGGTGCCAAATGATCCAGTGGTTGAGGTGGGCGTCTGCTTTCTTTAATTATATTGTATTTCACTAACCCCAACTTCTTCCTGTGCATACTCAACAACCACATGTCTGTTTCCGATGGACCTCGGCTTGTTTGATAGAGGAGATCCAGCCCCATCTTCCCATTGAGTTTGGTGCCAAATGGTCCAGCGGTTGAGGTGTGCGTTTGCTTTGTTTAATTACATTGTATTTTCACCCATTTCGCTTTCCTCCTATTGTTTTGCACCATTGTGTTTTGGTGTTAGTTCCTTGCATGCCTGTATGTACATAACATAATTTTCAAATATAATAATTTTATCAATGAACTTCAACGTGTAGAAGAGAAATGTGATAATCAGTACAATCAGTACAATCAGCTCAATCACCCATGTGATTGGTGTAATTGTAATCAGGGGACCTGGTTGTGGTGATTGTAAATTGTGTGACATTGAAATGATCTCAATCACCTCAATCAGCCTCAGGGGTTTCCTGATGCTGTCTCCTCGCATCCAATGTCCCAACAGATCTGACTCATTATAGTGTGTAGAAGCTAAATAGTGTCAGCAGCCTACCATGACCACCGTTTGTGGAGGGGTTCGTGTACTCTCAGCACTGACTCGAGTATGTTATAGCTGCATTTGTCAGCAAGACACCAACCCCAGACCAAATCCTTCAGGAACTCCATTCATTAAATACGAAGGAAAGGGCTTACTGTCAATATACAATGAGTAAAGGGTTCACTTTTGGAATTATGCATCGTCTGATCTTCAGCTGCACATGTGGCAAACACTCCCCTCCGATCCAGCTGTGCCTGGGCATGTGGAGGACTTTGGGACCATTGAGAATGCAATCATTGCAGCTTCCTCAACCAATGGGCCTGTTTGGGTTTGCAGCTGAGCTCGAGGGCAGCCAGTGGAGACTTTGTCCTTTTAATCCATGCTCATTGACACCAGTAACTCATGAAAAGTGATAGATGCTCCATGGGCTCCATGGAATTCCATGAAATTTCATGGAGTTCCATGGATTTTCTGACAAATTACATGACTTTTACAGCTTCCCATGGGTGGTCATGGGCTTCTGTGGATGTTCATGGATTCCCATGTTCAGAGGTCTGGACTCTCATGGGTAGTCACAGGCTCCCATTGGTGTCCATGGACACCCATGGGCATTCATGGACTCTCATGGGTGCCCATGGGTGCCCATGGGTGCTCATGGACACCCATGGATGCTCATGAACTCCCAAAGGCCACCTATGTAACACCTTCTACAGTATGTGCTTGTTATTTTGCTCTGTTACAAGGATTTGACACTCAATGCTGCCACAGTGATGTGCATATGGTCAGAGCAGAGGGGGGGATTTCTGTTCAATCAAGTGTGAAGCAAATATTGCCATAATTAATGATGAAAGTTACTAAAGACAGGCAGCACTGACATGTCTATATTCACCAATACTATTACTATTTACATAAATTTTGCTGTGATCAAAACTGATGGAGATGTATGCATGTTTTTCCCTGGGCTCCTCACATGTATGATGCACCCTGTGATTGGTTGTAAGGATTGTATTCCCCACCCTTAACCTTAATCCCCTAATATATGTAGCCTCATTATGGCATGGACTGATGGACTGGGAGTGTGAGGCTACACCAGTGCTTGTTTAAAACAAGCACACCAACATATTCAGTGGACACTCACAGTTGTGGCACAAAAATCAAAGTTCATATTTATTATTATAGAAATCGGATTTTCCCATTTTTAGCCTCTGTGGAGTACAGTATCTCATGCCATGTAAATAGTTGGTATCCAACAAACTATCATCACACAAAACCTGATCCAACCATGTTACATATTGTAAACCAAGCTCTCACAAGCTCTGCCACATTATCTGTAGAATCATCCCTATGCTGACCCCCTATCCTGCACCCAAAACCTATAGAAATGGACCAATTCAGCCCCATAGTTATAACATTTATACAGACTCCGGTGAAGACATGTAAAGACTTTTGGTTGGATCCCCATGGGTCTCTATATTTTATGGAGTCCTGCAATTTCAACTGATATTTTTTCACTTGCTATAGTATTGTCAGGGCACCTCACCTGATCATACAACCCTGAAACCCCTCCCCAGTCTCTCCCCATTTTTCCCTATTTTTCCATGTATATTTACAGCCAGGAGCCCACATATGGACCCTGTTAGAGATGGGCAGATTCAGATGACTCCGGAGTGGAATCGGAGACTTAGCATGGAGGGACCTTGGCCTCAGCGACTCAAGCGGAGTGCTGTGCCATTGCTGTTTGTCCATTTGGTCCTTAATTTCACAGTAGGCAAGCAGGAAGTCTCTAGGGGGCATTTCAGGTCGATTTCAGACTGAGCCCGCTACAAGTATGTACAAGCACCAATATATATAATGGAGGGGGCAAAAGCACAAGGAAGCGAAGGGGAACCGAATCGGAACAAAGGCATCTGAACGGGAACAAAGGGATGTCAGAAGCGGAGCGGTACCAAAGGTCATAAGGCAGAACCTATGATACGTCCGAAAGGAGGTAAGGAGGGCGGGGCCCAGAGGGGCAGGAGGATGAGGGGAAGTGGGGATGATGACTACTGGCTAAAATGGGAAGAAGCAGCAGTCCAAATAGGGATGAGGGAGTAACGCGAGAAATACATTACAAGCGGTGAAAGTGCCAAAGATGATCTGCAAAGCTCGGAGGTTGCGGAGCTTACGGAGGCAGGGTTGAAAGTCCGAGGAATATTGGCAATGGTGTTTACGTAGTATGAGATCACCAATGCAATGGACTAAGACCGAGGTGGAGTCAAAGTCCGAGGTAGGAACTATGACGGAGGCTCGGAGCAAAGGTACGAGCGGTGCCTGAGTACAAAGTATGGGTCAGCGGCAGGAGGTCATAACTTGGCGGGAGGTCGGCGGAAGAGGACCAGAGGGAAGAGAGGGGAAGGAAGAGAGGAGAGGTGTCAGGTCCGAAGGTGGGTATCGGAGTGGATGGGAGATGAGTAGGAGGATGATGGAAGGGTGGAGGTGTTGTGAGGAGGGAGCGGAGGAGTATGAGGAGGAGTAGGAGGAGGGTGACAAGAGGGGTGGTGTTCGGTCCGAGGTGGTTATCGGAGTGGACGGAGATAGGACAGGAGAGTGATGGAGGAGTGGAGGTGGCATGGGAAGTGAAGGGTGGTGTGGTGCCAGGACCGAAGGTGAATATCGGAACGGACAGCGGTAGGGTAGGATTCCGGAGGTGGGGAAGGAGGAGGTCCGGAAGTCGGGGCAGGGTCGGGTATGCACGGATATGACAGACCCATGTGACACCTTTTCCAAGCTGTGGGAATGCACCTGGCTTCTGCCTGCAGTCTGTCAGGGACGCATCCAGGGTAGAGGAGGCCCAGGTGAGATGCCTCACAGGGTGTGGAGTGGTGTCATATCCATCCCTGGCCATCGACTTCCACTCCCTCCGATCCCTCCAGTCTACCTCCGCTCCTTCTTCACTAACCTCAGAGCTCCCGTATTCCGCAATCACCTCAGTACCCCTCGATGGTCACCACCCCCTCTTTTCAATTTATTGCCTACACCTCCCTAAGTATGGAGCCGCGAAGGCTTCTGGACAGCTCTGATGTCCACTAGTGCACTCCCACCTCCGCTGGGCAATACACTCGCTTGCCCTGCAAGCCCACCTTCGGGCCTATCCCTCCTTTCCATTTCTGGGTTATCACCTACCATTCCGTTAACCCCGTAACCCAACTTGTCGGTAATATTCAATCGGCTAATGTCTAACCCCGTTAGCTCCGCTCCACTCGGCTCCACCATTTGCGGGCCCACCCTCGTTGTAACTATATATATACTCAACTTGTACATAGGTTACACCTCTGTCATATCC